TACTTGTGCTTAAAGAAGAACGAAAGCAATTGTAAACTTGAGGACAAGCAAGTTTCTCACCCTGATAAAGGGTTCCTTCCCTTGGTCTTACTGGGTCACAGCTTGGGTGTTTCTCACCTAGGCTCCAGCAATCCAGCTTTTATCCATCACTGACCTGTGTGGCACTGAAGAATTTTAAACACCCTGACTTCTCACTTCTCATTTGCAAAAAAACCCGACAGCTATTCTGAACATTAAAACATTTGAAGATTACACTTTATACAGCATTTTGAAAACACAATGAGCTAAGGCCCTTATTTTATTCCGCCTCTCCATGACATTTACATAGCTTTTAGGTATCTAATCATTAAGCAGAACCTTACTGCACCTTGTTAAGTGACCACAATATCAGTAAGACATTCAGACTTATCATGCAACTACATTTCAACCTGGGGAGATCTCTAGCAACTAGACTTCAGCAACTGTACATACTAAGAAACTAGCCAGAATGGCTACCTCTAATTCCCTCAAATTCTGTTGTGATACTGTTCAAAGTGTATAAACTCCACATAAATTCCCAGTTCCTTGGACGGAGGAAAAGCCATACCAAGTGACTGACTGAACCCAAGATCATGTAACTTTTGCCCTACAGCCTAGGAGTTACAACACTTTTTCAGTAAGTTGGATATCTAATGGACGGTTCAAGTCATTGTCCCCCCTTCTGACTAAACTGGATCACAACCTAACAGAAACCCAAAAGGCTGCCCCCTGGGGCAATGAAGGAGCTATGTACCTCCTTAGGGCAGTACAGAATAATTTTTCTTGGATAAGTTGTATATTTGAGGGGGGGCAGGGAGGGGGAAAGGGAGGGGATGAGTTGCTACTAAGTCTAAGATGTCTAGTAGATGCATTGGTTCTGCCATTTTTAAATCAGTTTGTGCGCCAAACTTCTCTTCTGTTATGGATATAGACCAGTTTCCAATCACTCATACTGGTAAAAATGTAATGTCTGTATCTGGCCAAAAAGATTTACTAACTTTGCTGTTATATTTGGTTCCAGAAGAAAAGTTCAGAAAGCTTCTTTCCTAGGAACAGCATTTTAATCACAGCAAAGGCAAAGCCATAAACATATTTCTTTCTTTCTTCCTTCCTTTCAAAAAAGGCCCTCGTATTCTTTTCAGACTTGACACAGCAGATTATTTTTATTTGCATGTACTGTAGTCATACAGGTGCGTTCAAAAATAAATGGTGCTTACAGACATGTGGAGGGGGGGGAAAAACCCAGCACTTTACTTTCAGCTTTGGTGCAACCCCATGCTAAGTGCAGCACATGCCCAGAAGAAGAATCCTGTCAGTTTGACCTAGCTCCCCAGCATCTGTATAGCTGATTGAATCAATTGCTGGATCAAACTGCCAAAAAAGCCCAGCTAAAGTGCATGAGCTATACAGATGCTGAGCGAGCCGGGTTGAACTGATGCGATTCCTCTTCCAGTAAAGTGCTGTTTTGTTTGGTTTTTTCCATGTCTGTCAGCACCCACCAATAATAATAAAGAAAGATTTAAATCCAGCCCTCAGTTTCTTAATTTCCTTGGACAAAAGGTATGAATATACAAGATTGAAGAATTTCTACCATACCCTTGATAAAAATACATTTCTCTTTCCACATACTGATAATCAACCACATACTTATGAAATAGCACAACACGTGTAATCACATTTATGACATTCTTGCTACAAAATTGTCTTGTAGGAACCACATCTTTCAAGAAAGACCATCTATCATAGCTGTGAGAAGATCAAAGTCTATGCATACTATACTTTTGTTAAAAGAAACAAGTTTTAAGACTGATGTACAAACCCTCAAAAATCAAACATATTGGAGTTTATTATACCACTATATTCCTAACCTAACTGTGCTCCAATTATCCTTGGGACATATTGTCTTCTTAGAAAGTAGATTGTAGAATAGAAAAAATACCAGGAACCTGATTCTGAAAGATGCTTCATGTCACAGAATCATAGAAAAGTAGGGCTGAAAGTGACCTTAAGAGGTCATCTAGTCCAACATGATCAAAGGGGGATCAGACTAAACTATTCCAGATAAGTACTTGTCTAACTTACTCTTACAAGCTTTCAAGTTTGTTGGAATGTCAGCAGAGCTCATTGCAGGAGCAGGACTCATTACCTTCTTACCAATGACAGTCTGAATGCAACTGTTGGGTGGCATTAATTTACCTACATTCAATGGTTTCACTTCCCCCACCATGCCTTTGCACAAAAAAGGAGAAAAAAAGGAAAAAAGTTTTAGGAATACAATAAAACACATTTCTAAAGAATACGATTGCCAGGACAGAATGACCACAAAACTTTCTAGCTCCCTTGCTTGTTTCATTTGATCTTAAAAATCATTTAGCACCCTGACTCAATCTTCCAGTTCACATAGCAATAGTGGACTGTCACGTCCACACAGAGCCTCAAGAGAGTTGAGTCTTGGTGACAACACAGCAAGACTATATTGAAGTAACATATGACTTTTTTAAAATTTACATAACCCTTGGTGAACAAACACTTCACAGCCTGATGTATTTATCTACAACAACCCTGTAATGGGGATAAGAATACTTCCCTATTTTATAGAAGCACCGATAGAGGAAGACTAAAAAACTGGATCAGTGGTGCACAGCCTTTTAGACCCCAGACCAGAAGACTGGTGTGGGGTGGGTCCGTGGGCCCAATCTAGTGTGCACAGTGCTGGGGCCCAATGCAATAGATGACAGATTGAGCCCCAGTCTCACACACCATATTGGGGCCACGCATCAGATCAGGCCCACCACTCAGCCCGACACACACTGTACTGAACCTGACCTAGCCTCAGCCCAGCCTTAGCCCTGTGCGTGCCAGATTGGCAGGCTGGGCCCCATCAGCCTGGCCCACCTTTGCATGGTTAGGTCATTTGGCCCCCAGGGCTTGGATAATTCAGCAGCTGTGAAGTAATGTCAGCATTAATTGCCACCATTTGCTCAACTCTGCCCACCAAATTTCCACACCCTTCGGGAGTCCCATGGGCCGGGGGTTTAGCACCTCTGGACTAGAAGAGTAAGGTTGCTGAAAGAAGGGTGCTGCTCAATATTAGCACTGTCAGGGTGAAAATACTTTGATTCACAAGACAAACTTGGAGATTTCAAACAGGAATTTGAAGTGTCAAAAATATTCTGACCTGTTTTGGCCTTTCCGAGCTCTTTGCAACAGAAGAACTGTTCTTTACTGCATTTAAAAAAAAAAAAGTGAGAGCAAAGAATGGCATTTTCTGAGGGCTGCCTTAAATCTAATGAAGTTGAGAACCACTAGAAAAAGGGAATTGGTGTCATAATATTAAGCACTGCAACTGTCCAGGTTTTAGGCATGTTGCAGTCTACTAACAGAGTTTACTGAACATACAGCAGTGTGCTAAAACTGCTACGTAATTCACAAGAAGCATTAGGTGTCTAAGAATGGCAGATGCCTTCAGCAGCAAGCTGCCTAAACTAGCAAATGGGGAACTTTAAGACAGGGACATCACTCAAATCTTGCCCCTCTGAGATGTAAACACTTTACTCTGGGTTGCGAGGAACTGCAGGACCTGTCACAAGAACCTGTTGTAACTATGCACCGAGTGCTTCCTTTCACAAGCCAAAGGTGGCTCCTTTTTGATGGGGAAGGAGATAATGGATTCTGTCTCTCAATCTAATAGCTCAGTGGCTAGAACACTGATCCATGAATTGAAAGATGCATCTTTCATCCCCCCCGCAAACAAATACTACAACCACCAGACAACAAGGTATAGTGGACTGAATGTCTTCAATTCCTCCTGAAGAAGCTATCTACCTTATATGGAATATTTATATATTCATAGAGACAGAGAAAGAAGGAACATGACTACAGTTTAGTGAAGAAGAGATGGTGAGAAAAAAGGTCCGAGATGCTGATACTTGGGAAAAAGAAGACCCGAGATTCATTTTTTGTTTCAGTGTTTTATGTTAGTTATTCACTGGAGCTGGGGTTTGAATGAGGTACGTACCACAACTCTTAAGCTAGAAAGTCAGGTCTACTCTTGTGTTCTCTTTGTATCCCAATGAATATTGAATTATTTCACATAAAGTGGAAATGCTTTAAAAGGAAACATAAAGAACACCTCTGAATATCTTCATGCCTGGTGCTCAGGTCACTCTCCTAGACTGCAGAATTAAATACCCATGAACAAGAGAGAACTGAAGTCCCCAACAGTCACCAGGTTTGGGAATAGCAGCAACAGCAATACTTCCTTCTTCTACACTGCGTGAAGCCTCATTTCCAGATTGGGCCCTACAGGAGCTGGGCCAAGAAGTGCCTCCTTTGTGAGTTCTCACGGGGGCTTTGCCTCAGTTAAGGACCAAGATGCTCAGGCGTGGAGAGACCAAGGCCCTTCTGGACACAACCAGGAGGAGGACGTTAGGCATTTCGAGAGCTTCCAAGTCAGAACGGTGTCTGTGAGCTACACCCACCTCCAGGACTAGGCAGCAGCCGAGTGGGGCTTGCGACATAAGCACCTGAAGTGATTTTCCCAACCTCCCAGATGTAACGAGCACAGCAGGAACCCGCACTGCGGCCCCCAACCCCTGCCCAGCAGCCCCTCTCCTGCTCCCCCCCCAAGCCGGGGTCATGTCAGCACCTTCCAGGAGGTCTCACCTTTGCTTGAAGAAATTACGACCGTGCTAAAGGCAGAACAAAAGGGCTGAAGGTTTCACCTCACACATGAGGGAACCCAGTGCTGCCTGCGGGCCGGCCCCCCCGGCGTTCAAGGAGCAGAGCAGGGGGGAGCCAAGCCCAGGGCAGCTTCTCCTGCAAGAGAAGTTTCCTACGTGCCCGGTCTGGAGCGCGGCCCCGGCCCCCCGGCGCCCAGGCCTCTACAGCGGGCCCGCCAGGCTCCGGTCCTCAGCAGCACCAGCACGGAGAGGGGCGTCGGCAGAGCTCAGGCCGGAGGGAGTGCCCAGGACCCCCCTTACCTGCCCAGCGTCCGGCGAGCAGCGGCCGCGCTGCCGCCCCTCGCAAGGTGCCTGAGAGCCGCTGACATTGAGAGAACCGCCGCCATGACAGCAGCGGACCCGCTTCGCTACGGCGTCCTCCTAGAGACAAGCCTCCTCCGTCCGCCTGGGAAACGCGAAACGGAGACTGAGGGGCTGTGGGGGCCTGGGCGGT